GGCTTGACTGGTGTGGTGTACAGCTCCCCCTCATCGACAGACTCAGCCAATGAGACACTATTGCAAACCAAGTATCACATACTGTCACTGAAGTTCACACATGTTCTCATTATGGGAGACTTCAATTGCCCTAACCTAGCTAAATCAGCGACCTCTCTACAACCGTTTGAGAGGAAACTTGCACAGCTCATGGAATCCTATCCACTTTACAATTTTGTGAGGGAGCCCACGAGGTTTGGAGCCAACCAGTCACCATCAGTTCTGGACCTGGTGTTAGCTAACGAGGAACTTCTAGTGGAAACGATTTCCACTGCAACTCCATTAGGGCGTAGTGATCATGCCGTGCTGACGTTTGACTACATTTGCTATGCTTCCGTACCGGTTAGCTCCTGTATGTTTGTTGACTACACTAAACTTCAAATTTGGCGAGAGATTTCCAATGAACATTTCCCAACGGACAGTGTGATCCCTGGTATTTTGGGAAGAACTACAAATCACCTGACGGAAATGGTGAAAGGCGCGACGAAGGCTAAGCGCATCAACTACTCAACTGGTCAAAGATCAGCAATTCGAAACCGGACAAAAAAGTGGATTTCACAGAGGAATATCTCATAGAGAGCTTACAAACGATCTTCTTGCTACAACACATGGTATACCTACTGTCAACTCCGAAACCACTGCACCAGGTTGGCGCGAGAAGACAAGTTAATACATCCAGGATTGCTCATGCGCAAGTTCATATCAAATCCCAAGCTGTTGTACAAACACATAAATGCCACAAGAACAGTTAAGTCTGGTGTTCCAGCGTTAAGGGTGGCAGAACGTGTTTCAGTCACAACAGAGGAGGTGGCTGAAATGCTGAAACGTCAGTACGCTCAACTGTTCACCGCACCTGCGAACACTGGACTACGACTGCCTCTGTTACTTAAGGATACATCACAACCAGTGCTCACCACAATTGATTTCCCCCCAGAAATCGTTGCATCGAAACTGCAGTGTTTGAAAAGGAACTCATCTCCAGAGGTAGATAATATCCATCCACAAACCCTCATCAACCCAGCAAGTAACTTAGCTCAACCCCTAAGCAAACTATTCCAACAAATGTTCAACAAAACTGCGCTCCCAAAAACGTGGAAACAAGGGATAATCTCTCCGATATACAATGGCAGTTGTCGTAGCGACCCAGCTAACTACCTCCCCGTTACTCTCCTCCCCGTATTATCCAAAGTCATGGAATCCGTTGTGGCAGACATTATGATGAATCACTTGAAAAAATACAACGTATTATTCCCGGCTCAACATGGGTTTCGTCGCAGGCGATCTTGTACCACTAACCTGCTTCTGGCCCCAGAAGAGTGCACAAAAGCAGCTGGTCACGGTGATGCAGTAGACGTCGTGTACCTCGACTTCTCCTAAGCATTCGATCGAGTGAACCACAAAATACTGCTGAGGAAACTACAGCACTATGGAATTCGCGGACTTGTACTGGGCTGAATAGAAGAATTTCTTCGACAGCGCACCATGGCAGTTCGGGTTTCTGGTTCACTTTCTGATCCCATCAGCGTATCACGAGGAGTTCCACAGGGATCCGTGCTGGGCCCTCTACTTTTTCTGGTTTTCATAAACGACCTAACGGACATTCTCGGTCCACATGCATTGATGTTTGCTGACGATGCAAAAATATGGAAAACGGTGATAAAACCAGAGGACTCGCCGGAACTCCAAAGAACCCTTAATGCTGCCTATCAATGGTCGATCGAAAATGACA